GGGTTTTACGGCGGAGCTGAACTAAGCAATTTCTGTACCTTAAAATTTTGAAATTTTCATTGGTTATGTGATTCACCAAACACGAGAAGGTCCTAGAATTCACTTCAGAAGTATACCCCAGCAGCGTTGGATTATATCCGTACCCAAGTAGACATTGAGGTTTAGAGGTATGAATTTGCCTTAACATCCTGAAAAGCCGTATATTTTCCTTAAAGGAGCTAAACGAATTGCAATATACTACAGATTGACCTTGCGAACACTATCCAGTTATGCTTGAGATAATAAATTAGAAGGCTCCTTAATACGAAGTAAAGAAGCAGAAAACTTAGAGCACAACAACCCGTTTACCTTAGATCTGCTTGGGGCGAGTAAACATTTATGAATAACAAATTCAGGCCAAGAGTTGTTGTCTTCCTGACCGGCCACTCCCTCAGTCACCCTCCTCCGGTCCGGAAAGCTGTAGGACTAGGGGAGGACTTCTGTGGCGGGCGCGGAGGATACCGAAAGAATAAGAAGAGGGCCGAAGGTCAGTAAGGTTTAGCATGAGCAACGGCGTCGCTTGGTATTTAAGTTATTTGAGGAAAAATGCAATTTAAGTCCTCACAGTTTGTTGTGTCAGGCAAATTGGTCCCCAATATGTTGAACAATAGATATATAATCCCCAAATTATTTATTTGAGCTAAGTTCCTGATTAAATAAATGTAATCTCCGCTATATTTAATTTGAGCCAAACGGGCAAGTTGCTCTATAAATTTGCTAAAAGTTGTAGTAAGAAATCTTACAAAATAGTATAAGAGTGTAAAATAAGTGTCTTATACATTTTTTTTACAATGTAATAGATTTTAAAACATAAAAAACAATATAAATTTCACAACCTATAAAGCTATTGCTAGATAATTTGTCACCTGTAAAAAAATTCTATAAATAATAATTAACAATCATGTATGTTAAATTACTAAATCAATCTAGTAATAAGTATGGAAAAATAATCACCAAACATGATTTATTCTGCTGATTCAATTGGTGAAATTTGTGATTTGTCTTCATTTGGTCAAAAATTGAATGCTTTCCACTTGTTTTTGTTCATTTTTGAATCTTAACTTATGAAGTTTATACAGACTTTTCATAAACACTAAGAAACGTATGTATGCCTTGTACTTTCATAAATTTTCTTAAATTTCTATGTAGCAACAGGGACCATTTGGGAAATTTTCAGAAACGTATTTGTTGTAGGAGAAATATTATAAACCAAAAGGGTATGAGAGCAAATAGGTTACATTTTGTTGGGTCTAAACTTTTAGAACCAATTCAATTCGCAGCCCGAGCGTTGAAAATTAAAAATGCATATTTACGTACCATCAGTTCAGCTCACAAAATGACAAAAATGGATAAGATTTGTAAGCATTACTTTCATCCCATCACGTATTTTATTTTATTACAGTAAATCTTATATATATTGATAATATATATTATATTTACAAATTACATATTGATATAGTTTTGTTTAGACATACATTACAAGGGATGGGATATGGGATACAGAAACATTTCATTGTTCATGAAATGGTATGGCGACTAAGGTTCAATACCGCATGAGACATGAGCCAAAGTAGGACCTCCATGTATGGATACTTGGTAAAATTATATGAGATACTTAGCTGTAATACTTGTATGTCTCGGCGTTTTATTATTTTCCTATATTCAGAGCATTCCACTCCTTTTACCTCCATAACATTTTTTGTCACTTCTTCTTTTGTCATGCAATCAAATATAAGCCCATTTGGATTGTTATTTTTTGAAAATTTTATAAAAAAAAGTATACTGTAACGATTTAATATATATATAGTAATAATAATAAAATAATTAAAAAATGCAATAAAAATAAAAAAAATTTTGGAAAAAAATAACAATCCGAGCAAGTTTGCAGACACCATATCATATATATGCCTTTCCCACTTCTTGTTGTACTACTAGTACACTATTCCCATTCTCAGTTCTAGTAGACCAGCGTGGAGTTACCTTAATTGATGAGTACAACTACGCCTGCTTTCATAACACGATTCCTTCTTCATTTTACTGCAAAATACACACCACGCTAAATCCCTTTATGACGCCACTAAATCCATTGCTTGTCCTGGGTTGATCTCAGACAACAGCAGATTAAAGAGGCCAATCGATAGGGAGGCCTTGGAGGGGAAGGGAAACAGATGGCATCCTCATTCTTGCATTTGCATTGTTGAGCATGCTTAGAAAACCTGTGGTATATATTGATGGTGATATAACTGATGTACCTACCGGCCAACTTGTTGCTCCCTTTTTTTTTTTTTTTTTTTGGTTTTGCCTGGATTAGCACTACTCATTTTTGGCTCCTTTGATTTGGCCGCTTGAAATTGTACATGCTTCTTCATCTGATTTTAATTCCTTATTATTTTTAATCAATAGAATGTTTTTTCAATAATTACAAACTAAAACGAAGTACGTGCCAACTTGGTAAGCATTCTTGCTTCAAGTTTGCATCAACTGAGGCTATTCATTCGGTTGAAGCATTGAGTTCTGTGGTTAATAAGTTGTTAGATTGAAGAAGAGTATTTGGAGAATTTGTGTGTTCTGGATAGGAAATTATTTGAAGAAAAATATTTAGAATGATACCATAACACTTAATGTGATGATGTGAAGTAAGTGAAATAAAAAATGTAATTAAAAATTATGTTTATTATGCAAGTTAAATAACATTTACTTTTTTTTCTTCAAATCATATTTATACAAATAGAAAATTTTTCATCAACTAAGTCCATATGATTGGCATAGAATTTTCCAAGAACGAATCAAAAATATATATATTTCAGTATCTTTTTTATCAAAGCCAGAATGACTTTTACGGCATTTTACAAACTTAAACCCACAGGAAACCACAAAAGCCGGCAACTCTTGTGGTTCCTGAGGAGACTTATATTTCAGTATCAAGTGCATCAATCATCATCAGAATATAAAGGTCCCTGTTGAAGTACGATGCAGGAATGGTTGTGATCCAGCTTCTATAACGCCCTAAAATCCCACCGTAGTTTAAAATCTTACTGTCAAATGTTTTTGGCTGTATCGCTAGTGCTTCTAATACGTCTAGTTGGTTACACATTTCTGGGATGCTCATAGACAGGAGTTAAAACTATTCGGCGTAAAGGTTGGCTATAATTCAAATTATTTTAATTTTTAAATCCCGGACCCAAATTTTTTTAAGTAATTAAAAAATACAAAGGACTCCAGCTAAAAGTTAACCTTTTAATTTGTGGATGCTTTTGTAGTTTGATGCAAGAACCAATAGGAAAATGTTACCAAGAAACAGTTTGAAGTTAGAACCGAGGCCAAGTTGCATCACTTCCTTCTACAGACTTGGCAAGAAAAATTGTGGATGCATGTAGTTTGATGCAAGAACCAAGAGAAAAAAGTTATCCTTTTAATGCAATCCAATAAATGGTATCCGAAATCTCTCTTAGTTCTCGATGGCGGTTCAGTCCCTTCAACTTCTCTATTGACCTTCTCAGATAGAAGTATGCGTGGGATCTACTGTGTCGAAAAAAGAATAAAAAAAAACTCTCTCCTTTCAAAATAGCCTCCTACTACATGACCTTGTCAAAAAAAGTCACCACCTAACTTTATTTTGTATTTTTGAATTTGCATCACCACTTGATTCTGCACTTTAAATTTTAATTTTAAATATCTTGCATCCTAAACTCTTAATTTCAGATATTTTACATTCAAAACTCTCAAGTCTTATCTTATCTAAATCCCAATCAATAACAACTTTTACAAAATTTATGAGATAAAAAATGGTGCGTAGATATTGTCAGTGTCGGATTCATGAAATATGTGCAAAAGTTAAATTTCAAATTCAAAATTTACATAGTTGTCATTCATCCAACTCTATACACCATAGTTATTAAACCCGGTCCGGCCCGACGGTTCAACCGGGCAACCCGGTGAACCGGCCATAGAACCGGGCCGGGTTGCTAATTAGATCGTTTGGACAATAGAATCGTTGACTTTTTGACGAACCGGTGGTTCAACCGGTCAACCCGTTGAACCCGCCGGTTTTCTGAGGAACCCGGTTGCCATGCGAAAATTTTTTTAGAAAATGTTGCCTTGATGGTTCAAACTTGGAACCTCAAGTATAAGAATGTAGTGCAATCACCACTAGACCAACAATCCATTTGTTAGTTGTTTGGTCCTTCTTATATTATATATTAGACTTTTATTCTTATTTTATTTCTTCAAAACAAAATTTATTTGAAATCTTTTAATAAAATTTTATTTATTTCCCGAATTCCATAAGGCAAATTTTAATAAAATAACATTATCTAGTTTATTTCCATAAGTTAAAACCAAAAGTTTGTTAAAAATAATGAAATTTCCATAAGGCAAATTTAAGTTTTGTTGATTCTTATAAGAATTAATGATTCTATAATAAATTAGACTAATTGAACATTTACTAAGACATAGTTTATTATAATTTCAACCATATAAAAAATTATAAGACATAATATTTAAATATATTTAGTGATCCACCGGTTGGACCACTCACCCACTGGTTGAACCAGTAACCCGCTGACCCACATCTTTCACCGGGTTCTTCCCCGGGTCGAGTTTAATAACTATGCTATACACTGTCAGTGTAGAAAATATTAATCTTAAATTGTAATATATCGTTTTGTTTTAATTACAATCTCTTATACTTCATTATGATCACTTTGAACACATTGTCATTAATTTGTAGGATATTTTGGCACTACTAATTTTGCTAACATAATTATTGTCATTAATTAGATTTAAATTATTAAAACTTGAAAATTTAAGATATAGAGCGTTCAAAATTGAGAATTTGAAGTACAAAGGATCCGAAAGTTCAAGGCGCAAAGTACAAAATATGGTACGTACAAGTTCACGGATGCAAATTGCAAAGTGAAGTTAATCCAAAGGCCACAAAAGAATTTCCAAGGGAAAAGGACACCCAGATGCCGTCAAATTACAACTGTACCAGATAAACTTTATATTTCATATGAGTCAAAAACATGCGACCGTGGTCACTTCTCTCCCCACTCTACAGTCACTGCCGTCGCAGCTCCTCCTACGTATTTGCCGCCATCTCCACCCGGACCACCACTATCACCACCCATTTCCACCGCACCATGGCCACAACAGCCTCCGAGCCTACAAGCCCATCCAACACCCGTCTAGGTTGGATTGGAACTGGAGTCATGGGCATCTCCATGTGCTCCCACCTAATCAACGCCGGCTACAATCTCACCATCTTCACCCGAACCCCCTCCAAGGCCCAACCCCTCCTCTCTCTGGGTGCCCACTGGGCCGACTCCCCCAAAACTGTCGCCTCCCAATCCGACGTCGTCTTGTCCATCGTCGGTTACCCATCCGACGTCCGCCACGTTATCCTCCACCCATCCACAGGCGCTCTCTCCGGTTTACGCCCCGGAGGCATCATCGTTGACATGACCACCTCGGATCCCTCACTCGCCATTGAAATACACTCGGCAGCCACCTCTGCCGGCTGTTCCGCCGTTGACGCCCCAGTATCCGGCGGCGATCGTGGCGCCCGCAACGCCACGCTCTCTATCTTCACAGGCGGGGACGGACCTATCATCGAAAAACTAAAACCCATTTTCGCCCTCCTCGGAAGAGTTTATTACATGGGTGCTCCAGGAAAGGGGCAATTCACGAAACTAGCAAACCAGATAACCATAGCTTCAACAATGGTGGGGCTTTGTGAAGGTTTAGTATATGCCCACAAGGCTGGTTTGGACCTAGAGTTGTACTTGAGTGCGATATCTACAGGCGCGGCTGGATCCAAGTCGTTGGATTTGTATGGGAGTAGGATTTTGAAAAGGGATTTCGAGGCCGGATTTTTTGTGAATCATTTCGTGAAGGATTTGGGGATATGCTTGAGGGAATGTCAGAATATGAATTTGGCATTGCCGGGTTTGGCACTGGCTCAGCAGCTTTATCTTTCGCTTAAGGCTTATGGTGAGGGGGATTTGGGCACCCAGGCGCTTGTTTTGGCGCTTGAAAGGCTCAACAACGTTTCACTCGATTCTGCTGGTGGTGCTGCTGGTTCAGGGAATAAAACATGAAGGTAGGGATTGGTAAAGTTTTGATATTTTGAGGATGGAAATATAAATGTTATTACACTTCTTTTTGTTCACATTTTGATTGTGTTGGAAACTTCGCTATGGATCATAATTCTGGTAAAAAGCATGATTAATCCGAGTTATTTAACTGTGTGCTTTTTCCAAAGAAGATCGCGACTCCAATGTAGTCTGTTATGTGGGTTGGGTTCAATTACACAACTGTAGACACTTTAGACATTAACACACAAACCGTGTGTCAGTCATTGCACTAGAAGTTGTGTTTTTGCATGTTGTTGTTGTTGTTCCAATGTCTACATTCGTTATTTTAGTTTTTGCATCTATTGTGTCAGTGCACACACTTGGTGCAGATGCCCTCGATCTGTGTTATGTTTTTCTTTGTAGTCTAGTGAGAGTTTAAGAAAAAATTGTTTTCGTTGGGGGGCTTGGTTGGATTATTCTTGCAAATCTAGTGAACTCAAAATTGGATATGCAGTCCTTACCTTGCATGTAATCCTATGGGGAGCTGAAAGTGGACTGTTGGCATACTACGTTGGTTGGAAAAAAAAAATCTAAGAACTCCAATAAGGATCAAGGAAACCATGGGCATCTTATCTGCTAATAAAAATGAAGATATGGCTCTGCTCTTGTTTGCTCATGACGTGTGACGTGGGAGTTGTTAAATTAACCTAGCTCTTAAACCGCTATGTGTTAAATCCTTATCCTTGTTTCAGTCGCCTCTTTTATTGAAGGTTACTGGGGTTACTTTTTTGCATGTTGAATATGTTAGGCAGCCTGGGGGACTGGGTCTGAGTAATTCAGAATGACCTGTAAGTTTACTTTGAGCTCGCTTGTTGTATGCTGCTGCTTTTCCACGTTTGAAAGATTTTGCTGTATCCTATGTATGCAGATTGAGGCAATGAAGGAACTTGGATTGGGTTGGATCAGTGGGATACTTCTTGTGTATGGCTCTGATTATGTGTTCTCCTAATTTAAAAGTGAACAGGGTTCTTGTTGTTCAGGTAGAAGTTCACAGCTTGGAATTAGGTTAAAAGCAGGGGAAGTTCAATGCATGTAAGGCAACATTTGCAGAACCCTGAGGAATAGTGGAAGCAAAAGAAAATTAGGCATCCTTGTGCATGTAAACCATGGATTTCTTGTTCAGGCAGTTTGTCATGGGAGTGTTGTTTCAATTATTAGCATAACTGCGGTGAATCATTAGTAAGAGGTTCGCAAACTTAGAAGATTGATTGTAGACTATCCTACACTGATGCTACTGACCATGACACGATGAATTTCTGGTCCTACTGAATGACTGAGCTGTGGTAAACATGTTGCAGAAGTAACTACTTGTTCATTAATTTTTTGATACCAAAAATAAAAAGGGTTTATGCAGCTGCAAAGCGCATGAGTGCAATAAGGTGTAGGAACTTTAGTGCTTGGTATTACTTTGTGGGGTTCTACTAAATAGTTTGTTGGGTGCCATAAGTTGCCTCATGTCTTCAAATCATGAAGCCACGACCTCTTCTAATGTGTTAGCAGTTAATTTGTATGAGATGTTATCTCACTCGTAAATGATTTATCTGTCTGGTAAAGAGAGATAAAATGTTATAGACATTATTGTCAGGTAAGAATGCAATGGCCTATGATCTTTATGTAAAAGCGGGATGAATTAGATCGTTTTTAGACGTTTTTTGATTGAGAAAATATTGAATTTGATGCTTTTGAATTGTTTAACAATCAAGTGCACGCTTTTATCATTGGGACTGTATGGGAGCGGTTAGTTTCCTGGAGTTGTTGATATGAACCATGGATGTTCGACAAGTGCATACTTTTATCGTTGGTAGCATATTGAATTTTTTACTTTTAATTGCTAGTGTTTTTGGATTTTTGATATGAACCATGGATGTTTGACGGCTCTGATTCAAGTGGTGAAACTTTTGAAGTCGAAAGAAATTAAATTATAAGAAAGGGTTAGGTTGAAAATCTCTGGAGGCACAGATTGCAGAGTCTGGGTTGATCAATGGCTAGAGGTACACAAAGGAATTTGATTAATTCAAGGAATGCAGAAGTTTTCCCTCGGCTTAGGAATCTGGAACATCTGATACATTGTGGTAGAAATGGAACCAAGACGAATGATTAGGTGCCCCTGCAGGGGTAGTATTTCTTGGTCTCTAAAATTCGATGGCATTCTGGTTCTGGGAAATCTGTTCACGGATGCGTGAGAGCTAAAAATTGAAAGTAGGCTTCCTTGGAACGGACTATGGACCTGAAGACTTGTTAAGGGATTGTCGCGCATTCTGATTGGTGCAGATGGACGGGAATTTCTTGCATGTCTGAATTTGTGGCAAAGATATCGAGGTCATTATCATCACGATCAGGTTTGTTTGGATTGTAAGTTATTTGAGATATTTTTACTGTAGCACTTTTTGTGATGTGATGTATGTGAGATGAAAAGATAATTGGAAAAGTAAAAAGGTGTATTGAAAATTGTAATGATGATGTAAGTAAATATATTTGAGGAAATAAAGATCCATCCAAACAAATCATTCCTTCAATCGGGATGGGAGGAGGCGATATGTTGACTAGAAACCATCGGGCCTGATCCAATGATCAAGAAGAGCCTATTTAAAATTCTTTCGTATGCTAGATCGGCGTACACTAATTTAAAACTCTTCCGTACGTTAGATTGATGTTCAAATCCCGCCAAGTGTAGTGCTTTCTTGTTCTTAAGAAATTCAAAAAGTGCAACGGCGCACTAGTTTGATCTGAAAGTTTACCCCTCAGCTCTCATACAAGCTCCTTTGAACTCTCTCTCCCTTGTAGTCTAAGAGTGGTGTAGATTAGCACTGGGTAAGGATTAGATTGTTTCCATTGCGAAGGAAAAAGAGAGAGAGAGAGAAGTTGACTGGTCTATGAGCATCTAGAAAAGAGAGAGGGAAGTTGACTAGTCTTTGAGCATCTAGAAGACTAGAAAGTAGAAACAATTACTTGGCTGAGAGGGTTGAGTTTAGAGGCAATATATATATGTATAATTAAATTTAGGATTATCATATTTTATCCCCTTAAAGAATACCCCATTTTCAGTTTACCCCTTAACATTTAATTTTGCTCACTTAACCCCCTTTAGGACAAAATTGCCCTTGCATTATTTTGACTTTTCATTTACCTTGTTTTCCTTTCTTTTATTTCTTTTTCTCTTTCTTCTTTATTTAATTCTTTATTTTTCCCATAAAAATTTTCACCTTAATGATTGAAATTAAAAAAGAGGAATTGCAGAGATCTATCTTCTCCTTAAATAATTAAAAAAATATTCAAATCACTTTCCTAAAATACAATTTTTTTAGTCTTTCAATTCTTTTAATTTTGGATTTTCCTCTTTCCTTTCTAGTTTCTCATTTTATTTTCAAGAAAATATCATAAGATGAAATTGTGACCTGATTAATAATCATCAATTGAAATTTGTGACACGTTGCATCATACAAAAAATCAAAATTAGTTTTTGATTCCTTTTAAATTCAAAAAGTGCAACGGCGCACTAGTTTGATCTGAAAGTTTACCCCTCAGCTCTCATACAAGCTCCTTTGAACTCTCTCTCCCTTGTAGTCTAAGAGTGGTGTAGATTAGCACTGGGGTAGGATTAGATTGTTTCCATTGCGAAGGAAAAAGAGAGAGAGAGAGAAGTTGACCAGTCTATGAGCATCTAGAAAAGAGAGAGGGAAGTTGACTAGTCTTTGAGCATCTAGAAGACTAGAAAGTAGAAACAATTACTTGGCTGAGAGGGTTGAGTTTAGCGGCAATATATATATGTATAATTAAATTTATATATACGGTTAGTATATGCACTAGCATCATTAGATATATGATACATGTGTAAATTTTAAATTTAAAATTCTTGAAAAAGATATATTTTGCCCTTTTCCTTTTGATGCCGTCAAATCCTTGAAAAAAGATGAAAATAAGTAAAATTCAAGCTTAAAAGGCTTCGTTTACTAAATTTTTTTCTACCGATTTTCAACAATTTAACGATTCAATTTTGTTGAGTAGTATTGCTGTTGTTTGCTTTCCCGGCTCCGTCAACCTTCTACTGGTCTACTACTACTAGCACTTCTTTTAAAAGCAATGAAGCGGTCTACGGAAGACCGCCCTGTACGGTAGCCAAAACAAGAAGGCTTTCCTGAGAGTGAAAGAGTCTAGCCTAGTTATATTATATATATAGTCGTTGATATATGGAGGTAAATGTTATCCAATTCCCAGTAAATGTCCATGGTATCAGTATGGGGCGTTGAACAAAAGTACTTTGTATACATACATACGTACGTGTATATATATATATATATATATAAATAATGGATGAGGAGGCAAATGAGATGCAATTCCTAAGTAAGTAAATGTTCTGCCGTGTCTGTCACTTACTAAGGGGCTATTTTGTGCAGACTTATTGGAAAAAAAAAAAGGAAAAAGGAGGAAGGAGCTTTTGAGACTTTTGGAAAGTGGGAATGAGGGGAACCTTCTTGCACGGCTATGATTGCTTGCGTCTTTGGCAGCACTTTGTTACAGTAATGTTTGGCTCTCCAGTCAACAAAGGCGTTCTCTTCTCTCCAGTCCCCTCTCCCCCGTTTTGGTCAAAACTTTTTTTTGTCTTGTTGCTGGCAATCTGAAATCCGGTTGAGAGTAGCTTGGTGGTTGTGTCGAGTAGCTTGGTGGTTGTGTCGATATTGCTGGTTTTTTTAAAAAAAAAATTATTTATTCTCCTCATAGTCGTTATTGCTGGTTGTTCTCACAATAGCTTCATGGCTTTTACCAGGGCTAGCGTCAGAGTTTTTGTAGTACCCTCTGCCTGTTCTTGTTGGAAATTTCTTTTTTCTAGAAAACAATCATAATATATATATATATATATATATATGCTACATACAATATTATTATAAATATATAATACTCCAGCAGCAAATAAGTCAGAAAGTCGCGCATCCCGCCAGCTGCGATCTGGGGTACCGTCGGGTTGTTTCAGTGGTGGCCCACTCATTCCCGTTGTTGACTGACTTTTCAAGTCAACCACTACACACGTGTCATTGATGGTGGGCAGAGCTACTTTTGTCTTTGTGGCTGGAGAGTGCCATCCTACTTGCGTTCTTCTTGGTTTCTAGATTTGCTTGCTAGGATTCCCGACTCCGTTCCGTTCGGACTTTTATTTATTTATTAAATACATTATCCAATCACCGATTTATCTTCCTCATCCTCAATTGTTTTTTTGAGAATATCATATCATATAAAGCACTAGGATATTTTTTTTTCCCTTCAAAAAGTCATTCCTAATAATCTCGAAACATGCTCAAGTAATATATTTTGCTTTTTTTTTTTTGCCATTTAGATGTTTTAAATGTTATTCCCATCAATCTGAGAGAAATATCAATAGAGAGTCCCCAAGATCCAAAAAATGGAAAATTCCCATTTAATATTTTATAGGAACTAATACAATTCAAAATTTTATTCTCAACATGTTAATCATCAATAGTTTTTTTTTTTTTTGGTAAATTAGGTTTGTCGAATGAGTGTCTAATAGATACATAACTCGTGGTATCGAGAGGCGTTTTAAACGTTAATTTTAATCAATATAAAATTGAACAAAGAGTGTCCAAAAATACGAATTTTAGATTTGCGCATCGATTGTATGTTTTGATTGTTTTTTGGTGGGGGTGAACTAATGTTCATGGGAAAAACGTTAAGAAAATCCCTTAAAATATATATATATATATATGTATATATGAATACGTCATCCATAGCCAATAGCCATATTTTGTTGCGAGGCCTTTGATTAAATGAAATGAATAACGAAATTAGACGAAACCGCTTGGAATCCAAATCTTACCGGCCGCGACAAGCAAAGACTAACAAGACAGGCCCACTAGGAATGCTAACAAAGAAATTGACGGAATAGTCTCTGTGGAGTGGGGGCAGGGGAGAAGGATGCCCGGGGGGGGGGGGGGGGGGGGTGTGGGGGGTTTTAAAAAATCGGTTTATAGCCGCTGGAATTTCCAAGCATTTTCCTCTCAGCGTGCATCATCCATTCCATTCCTGGGAGTTCACACTCTACAGACAGGCCATGAGCATTCAACTTCTCCATTGTAATTTGCAATCCTCCTCCTTCAATCACCCCTGAAAATGTCCAAAACCACCCAATGGTCTTCCCAGCTCACCTTTCTGATATTCACCATCTTCTTCCTCTCCTTACCTTTCCTCGGCAACTCACAAACTACCAAAACCAATCCAGAAGAACAGACCATTCTGCTCAAACTCAAACAGCAGTGGCTGAATCCGCCCTCCCTGTCCCACTGGACCTCATCATCAGACCACTGCACCTGGCCAGAGATCAACTGCACAGGTGTATCAGTCACAAAACTCAACGTCTCCAATTTGGCAATCACAGAAACAATCCCATCATTTATCTGTGACCTCAAGAACCTCACAGTTCTCGATGTCAACAACAATTCCATCCCCGGCTCCTTCCCTACAGTTCTCTACAACTGCTCCAAGCTCGAATACCTTGACCTGTCTCAGAATTTGTTCGTTGGCACTATTCCTCATGATATTGACAGGCTATCCCCAAGCACCCTCCAATACCTTATACTTGAAACCAACAATTTCACTGGCGACATCCCTCCAGCTATTGGGAAGCTAACGGGGCTTAAAAGCCTTTACGCCAGAGCAAACCTGTTTAATGGTTCTTTCCCTGCAGAGGT